TATTAGAAAATGTTAAGAGAGGCAAAGGCCATACAATGGGTGCAAATGAAGTGTTTCAACCCAACCAAGAAAAGGGCATATGGATAAAAGCCTGGAAGCCTGTAGGTGGTCTAAAAAAATAGGGAGAGAAAGGAACTTTTGTCAAGGACCTGAAGTGATGGGAACTGGCAGCGATTCAGCTCCCCATCACTATGCGACTCTTCTTCCAACACTTCTGCTCAAAACGGCATCAAGTGCCTCCAGCTGAAAAAAGCAGGCCAGCAATTTAAGAGGGACAATGAGCCTTACAGCTCCTTTTGATTTCTGTCAATAATGAACACAAGGGGCGGCTCAGGGCTAGGGTCATCAGCTCTAGAAAAATACATATATCATGCCAGGCAAGTTTCCAAGGATCGTTCAGAGCAGCTCTAGAAGAGGAAGTTCAATTGCAACAATTAAACTGCACAAAAATAAACAAATGCATCAGAAAATGAATTAAGAAATATCCTCAAAAAGGATACTGCAGGGTAGGAAAAGGTTCCGAGAAGGGCAACCAAAATGAAAAAAGGGGATGGAACGACTCCCCAATGAAGAAAGGGTTAGTTTAGAGCAGGGTTTCCCAAACTTGGGTCTCCCACTGTTTTTGGACTACAACTCCCATCATTCCTTGCTGTCAGGAATGATGGGAATTGTAGTCTAGAAGCAGCTGGAGACCGAAGTTTGGGAAACCCTGGTTTAGAGAAAAGGTGACATGGTAGAAGTTTATGAAATTATACATGGCATGGAGAAAATGGATAGATATTTTTCCCCTTTCCCCAAAATGCTAGAACTGAACGGGCATCCAATGAAGCCGAATTTTGGAAGATTCATGCCACATAAAAGAAAACACTTAATTCCTGCAGCTCACAGTAAAACTACGGAACTTGCTCCCACCAACTTGGATATTTTTAACAGAGGACTGAACATGGAGGACAAGCTACTAGCCCTGTTAGCAGTGTTCTGCCTCTACTGTTGGAGGGAGTATGTTTCTGTTGCTGAATATCACAGGTGGGCAGAGTGCTGTTGCATCCAAGTCCAGCATCCAGGCTTCCCACAGGTATCTGGTCAGCCCCTGTGAGAAAAGGATGCTGTGCTAGGTGAGATTATTTTTGCTGGTAGGAAAAATATCACCACCGCCATCCAGAAATCATCAGGTGGCAGCTTCTCCCTGCCACTCAAATGCAAAACAGTGCTACCCAGATTCTGCCTAGTCGGCTTCATGCGCATATAGTGGCATCAGGGAGAGAAAATGTTCACATACTGCCACACATACACATGCGCTTCACACACAACTAATCTGAGAAATAAATTTCATATGAAGTAAAAATAAGATCACTCTCTTTTGCACAACTGACCTAATGTCAACATGTGCGATAACTTACAGCAGATGTCTCTACAACTCTCTGTCCCCAGGTTTAATTCAGTGCTGAATACTTTTTAAGTATTTAAACAAGGCTGAGAGTTGGTGACTGACCCAAGATCACTCAGTGAACTTATAGCTAAGTGTAGATTTGAACCCTGGCCTCCCAGGCCGTTCAGCTCTCACTGTGCCATGCTAAAATTTTGGAAGGTGTCATAGATTGGTAGGTGTGATATGATTAGCATTGCAAATCTAGAAAAACCCCAAGTCACATCAAAATCAGTGGCAGCTACAACACAGTCGAGACCATATAACACTGGTCCTGAAAGATCTTCATTGGCTCCCAGTACGTTTCTGAGCACAATTCAGAGTGTTGGTGCTGACCTTTAAAGCTCTAAATGGCCTCGGCTCAGTATACCTGAAGGAGCATCTCCACCCCCATCGTTCAGCCAGGACACTGAGGTCCAGCACCGAGGGCCTTCTGGTGGTTCCCTCACTGCGAGAAGTGAGGTTACAGGGAACCAGGCAGAGGGCCTTCTCGGTAGTGGCACCCGCCCTGTGGAATACCCACCCATCAGATGTCAAGGAAATAAACAACTATCTGACTTTTAGAAGACATCTGAAAGCAGCTCTGTTTAGGGAAGTATTTAATGTTTGATGTTTTATTGTGTTTTTAATATTCTGTTGGGAGCCGCCCAGAGTGGCTGGGGAAGCCCAGCCAGACGGGTGGGGTATAAGTAATATTTTATTATTATTATTATTATTATTATTGTTGTTGTTGTTGTTGTTGTTGTTGTTGTTGTTGTTGTGTCATATCCTACCATATACGCATAATGCTGGTGCTGAGGAACTCAGCACTTGGTAGCTACCAATTAGCTACCAAATCAAAGTACCAATAAAAGGTAATGATTCTTGGATGACCAAATAGGGTGAAGGGTGAGTGATGACCAGCCAGGCAATTGCTCCTCCTCCCTAGATGAACCACAATCCCCAAATCCCCCCCTTTTTTTAAAGTAAGTGTCTAACATTGCAAAACCTCTCTTAAAAAATAAAATCCTGTAGATGTCCATGTAATGATTCAGGATTAATGAAGCCAGTGCTCAGTGACATAATCTTACATGGCACCTGGCCATTGTTATTTAACATTTAGCACCAATGGTTTCCAGATGCTGTACAGAAGCAGAGCAACAGAGTGAAAGGAAGCAGCTGAACAGACTGATACAACAGGACAGGCATACAGTGGTGCCCCGCAAGACGAATAACTCGCTAGACGAAAGGGTTTTCCGTTTTTTGAGTCGTTCCGCAAGAAGAATTTCCCTATGGGCTTGCTTCGCAAGACTAAACGCCTTGCGAGTTCTTGCAAGTTTGTTTCCTTTTTCTTAAAGCCGCTAAGCCGTTAATAGCCGCTAATAGCCGTGCTTCGCAAGACGAAAAAACCGCAAGACGAAGAGACTCGCGGAACGGATTAATTTCGTCTTGCGAGGCACCACTGTATAGGCAACAGAGAGGCAAAGACACAGAAGCCCTAACTATTTAGGACTGAGATATCTTCCCCTTCCTCTCATACAACTGGAGAAGTCTCTTCTCTGCTCCCATGACCTTCAGAAGTTCAATTATTAGTAGTGGCACTCAGGCTTTGGGACTCCCCACCCCACAATATCTACTTTGCCTCATCAATGGCATTTTGTCACCATGCAAAAACAATTTTGTTTCACAAGCTCTTCAGCTGGATCTTGTTTTCAGATATCACCACCATCAAATTTGTTTTTTGATGCTGCCACCACAGCCTTGCTTGATCCATTTTTTAAAATAAAGTGCATTATATGCTGTTTTTAACATGTTAGTTGAAAGCCGCCTCAGGCTTTGCTCTGCAATCGGAAGGCAGGAGATAAACAAGTAATAACATTAATATGCAAGTAATACAGATAACAAAAATAAGAGAGGCAAGTGCTGGTTCTGATGGATATGAAGAAATAACAGAGCTAGTACAGCAGAGAGCAGTCACCAGGGTGAACTGTCAGCGCAAGTCAAAGTTTTGCTATTAAGTACCTGGCCTGCTGCAAGCCTCAGCCTCTCTCATGCCCTAAGGAATGTTGTGCAAGAGAACTGTGCAATGCCTGGACTTCCTGATGTTGCTAGACTCCAACTCCCATCAGCCCCAGCCAGAAGGGGCAATGGCTGGGGACCATGGGAGTAGAAGTCTGAATGTCCACAGACTGCCCACCCCACTGTACTGTGTTAACAATATATGCAGTAAAAGGTAAAGGGACCCCTGACCATTAGGTCCAGTTGTGGCTGACTCTGGGGTTGCGGCACTCATCTCGCTTTACTGGCCGAGGGAGGCAGCGTACAGCTTCTGGGTCATGTGGCCGGCATGACTAAGCCGCTTCTGGCGAACCAGAGTAGCACATGGAAACACCATTTACCTTCCCGCCTGAGCGGTACCTATTTATCTATTTGCACTTTGACGTGCTTTTGAACTGCTAGGTTGGCAGGAGCAGGGACCGAGCAACGGGAGCTCACCCCATCGCGGGAATTCAAACCACCGACCTTCTGATTGGCAAGTCCTAGGCTCTGTGGTTTAACCCACAGCGCCACCCACGTCCCTATATATGCAGTACTTCTATGTAGATTCTTAGTGCCTTTATGAATCAGAGGGCAGGCCTACATGCCCAGTGTCATTTCCCAGCCATCAAATCCGGCAACAGTACTGCAAATATTAGTATTGTCATCATTATTAATTAAATGCATACAGAGCCGGATTTAGGTTTGATGAGGCCCTAAGCTACTGAAGGTAATGGGGCCCTTGATATGTCCAGCTGTCCTTTGTCAACAACAAACTGTTGCTGTTTTTTGTGTTGAATGTGCTATATGGTAATTTATGGATCTAATAGGTATCTACAGCCATGTGCACATAACAAAATATGTATTTTATCAAAGTAATTGTTGAAAAGTCCATGCAGAATGCAAAGTCCATGCAGAATGTAGGTGCCCTATATATAGAAATGAGCAACCCAGTGATATTTTAGGGAGCAGGCTAGCAGGCGGGGCCCATTACTTACATCATAGGAGCCTACACAACACAAAACACTGTTGCTGTATGTAGGTTTTATTTTATCTTGTATTTTGGAAACGTACATCCAGTTTTTTCCTTCAATTTTTGGGCCCCCTAAGAGTGGGGCCCTAAGCTATAGCTTGTTTATCTTATACGTAAATCTGGCACTGAACGCATATATCGCCCTTCATCCAAAGATCACAAGGCGGTTTTACAGCATAAAAAGACAAAATGAAAAGGCAGAATACCCGCTCTCACAAGCACATTTAAAAGGCCGGAGGGCCTGGTTATAGAGGCACCTAAATATATGCAGTGAAGGCTCCGGGTGAGAGCATTCACTGGGGAGAGCATTCCACAAATGGGGAGCCACCGCAGAAAAGGCCCTGCAGAGGGAGAAAGAGAGGTGCCTAGGCCTTAAACCAGGCCTCTGCTGGTCCTGGATCCTAGGAAAGGACACTCTGCCCGTGCTCAGTGGAACTCTTGCCTACGTTTGAGGGGGATCCTAAATGCGGTTTCTCCCGCATTTTAACCACCCACAGCGCGCGAGGTGGCTGCTGACTCACCCACCTTCCTGGACCCGAGGCCGCCGCTGCCTCTTCCGCCGCCCCCGACCGCATGCAGCGTGATCTCGGAGAGCAGCTGGCGGGGGCCGCCCGCCTCCCCTTCTGCCTGTGGCAGAGGATATGTCAGCAGCAGCAGCAGCAACGGGTCGCCCTCTCTTCCGCGGCGCAGATCAGCCCCGGCGGCCGGGATCCCGAAGCGCCCGGGGCTTGGCGGCTGCAGCAGCAGAAGCAGCAGCGCTTCCCGCAGGAGCCTCCGGTGCGTCCTGCGCGGCGCCCGCTTCTCGACTCCCGGGCTGGGCTGCACCTGGCCGATCGGGAGGCTGCTGGTTACCGCTTCCCCGGAGGCGGCGCTCCTGCTGCAGACCTGCAGCAGCCCGCCGGGGCAGAGCGCGTGCAGAGCGCACGGCCGGCCTAGCCGGAGCATGGCCGCGGAGGGGCTGCGCCGGCTTCCCACGGCTGGCAGCCCAAGCGGCCGACGGATCCCGGCGAAGGGAGGCGGCTGATCAGGCCCGGAGAGAGCGCGCAAAACAGCCACCCACCGCCTTGCCAGGCACCCTCCTCCTTAAAGGGACAGCGCCCCGCCTGTCCTGGGCAGGGCAAGGGAGCCTGATTACATACAGCAGATGTACCGCTCAGGCTTGCGCCTTCTTCCTCCAAAAAACTTTCGCCTCTCCGCAGGGAGCGCTTGCAAATCGCCGGGGTTCTCTGTCGGGGGACAGTCAACGAATCTCTCCCCACCACCACCTTTTGGTAGCAATTGCGATGCGCCGCCCTAATTCGCCGCACGATTTCCCCATGTACGGTATTTCCAAACGCTTCTTTCGGTTCTTATTTATACTGCATTTTATCGTGTTTACCATAAAACTCTGCGCGGTGAATTGAAAGAAGCGATTAAAAATGTAATTTAAAATCAATATTTAATGCAGTCTTCGACCATAAATCCGCAGAGCAGCTGCTCTAGTCAAACTATCTCTGGCAGGGAATGGCTAATTAATTAATTAATGCCCTGCCTTTTTCCTTGATGGGACTCATCATATAAAATCTGTCTAAAACATACAAATAATTACAATAAAACAGCTGTACAATAGTATCAAAAGTATCCAAAGCTGGCAAGAAGCACTCATAGTCACCAAGGCTGCTTGTCTGGTGTTACAGAGGGAGAGCAGTAGAGTGGAATAATTCACTTATCCTGTAGCCTTCCCTTCAATCCTTCAAAATGAAGGTCATACATCAGGGTGACCAAGGCTGATTTAGCCCCCAAGCTAGGCTGGAACCCAGATTGGAATGGGCCTAGATAATCCATATCCCCCCCAAAAGGCTTGCAGTTGTGCCTCCATGACCCTCTCAACTCCCTTGCTCAAAAAGGGGGTGTTGTTGCTGGGCTAAAACCAGCTCCTGTCTGGATTTTTTCAAGTGTGTTTTCAGGGGGTACCTAAAATAGATTGCCTTGTGGGTCACGGAGGGAAGGAGAAAAGGGTATTCCAAACTACAGGAGCAACCAGAAAATACTTACAAGCGACTCCCCTACAGTAATCTGAACATGGAGGTCTATAAATGGCACAGGTGCAAAGCTTATTCACTTATTCCCATTTGTCTTGTGTTGGATGCCATGAGTGGATCAGTGGGAATGAGATCAGTTTACAACAAAACTATTGCTCTTTTCTTTTTTGTTGTTTGAAAAGATTCCCATAAACTAAAGAAGCAAAATTGTTTGGTGCATTCTTAAAAAATGCAGATCTAGGAATTACACATAAGAGAGGGCAGAGGGGGCCTTTGTAAACTTTGACTTGAAAGGGATTTCTGTTTCAGTATGCATAGGTCCCAAGCCAGCAGGGCTGATGTTCGGCATTCTCTCATCAAAAAGGGTCATTTTGATCTCTAATTCTCCACCCTTCCTTAGGCACATTGTTTTGTTGTGTCTATAGTGCTGTAGACTTCCAGGCCATAACCTAAACAAGAGCTTTCCTGTCTGGGAAGCCATGCAAATTTGGAGCGAAAGAGAATTCCAGGGATCGGCCCAAGATGATACAGTGCCGAAGCAGCGTTGTAGGAGCATGGGCTGGATGTGTGCGGACTGGAGATGGAATATTCCAGATAAAATTGCACGGCAGAATAGATGGGTCTTGAGAAGAGCATCTTCAAGGGGGCTTTGCATTCCTTCGCTTAGAGCCGGTTCTCAGAAATTTTATGAGCTGGTCCTTTGAATCAAGGCTTTATGCATTGTGTAGAAAGAGATGTATAGGGCTGACGGACCTGGAAGGCTGTGTGACATTTCTAAGGCATGCTGGAACCTTGTCCCCTCAACAGCACTCACCATCATTTCAATCCCCAGCATACCTGGACATTTGCTGGGGCCCACAAGCCAACCAAGTCCCATGGGGCTGACGCCTTGCCTTGCTCTCCCGGGACACCCCACAACTTACGCCCCATGATGGCACTGCTGCTGCTGCTGCATCCACAAGCCTCACCTGGCTAGGAATTGAGCTGAACTCCAGTCCCATAATAGCAAAGCCACACCAAATCCTGGAGATCCAATCATATCTCTCTGCCAACATATCTAGTTTTGTCCCACACTTTCATATTTTATCCTGATCATCGGGTACCAGAGGTGAAGGACATGGGAATGTCACTTACAGTGTGACAATGAAAGAGGACATGGTAGGATGTCTTCAGTTTGCAATAAATGAGTCAACTTTATATTAGGATTCCTATCATTTCCATGATAATAGTCATATGATATATTTGGTTCTTAAATGTGTCTATTTTCATAAATGAAATAAGTACAAAATAACTCAATTTGCAATTTTGTACAAAGTTTAAAGGTAAAGGGACCCCTGACCATTAGGTCCAGTCGTGACCGACTCTGGGGTTGCAGCGCTCATCTCGCATTATTGGCCAAGGGAGCCGGCATACAGCTTCCGGTCATGTGGCCAGCATGACTAAGCCTGGCGAACCAAAGCAGCACACGGAAACGCCGTTTACCTTCCCGCCGGAGCGGTACCTATTTATCTACTTGCACTTTGACATGCTTTCGAACTACTAGGTTGGCAGGAGCAGGGACTGAAGAATGGGAGCTCACCCTGTCGTGGGGATTAGAATTGCCGACCTTCTGATCGGCAAGTCCTAGGCTCTGTGGTTTAACCCACGGCGCCACCTGCGTACAAAGTTTGCAGCACCCCACTTGCCCAAATGGATCAACCTCCACTGGCTCCACGAGCAGGAATCACAGAATCATAGAACTGCAGTATTGGAAGGGACACTGGGGGTCATCTAGTCCAACCCCTTGCCATGCAGCAATATTTTGCCCAATGTGGGGCTCAAACCCACAACCCTGAGATTAAGAATCTCATGCTCTACCAACTGAGTTATCCCAGGAGATTTGATTCATCTGAACTCCTCCTCACTCATATCACCTATAATATTCATGTGCACTTTATTTTCTTGCATTTATATCCCAAGGAGCAAAAGGTGCCATGCATGGCTATTTTCATTTTATAACTACCCTGTGAGGTAGACTCTTGAGAGTCCCATGGACTGCAAGAAGATCCAACCTATCCATTCTTAAGGAACTGAGTGTTCACTGGAAGGACAGATCATGAAGCTGAGTTTCCAATACTTTGGCCACCTCATGAGAAGAGAAGACTCCCTGGAAAAGACCCTGATGCTGGGAAAGATGGAGGGCACAAGGAGAAGGGGACGACAGAGGACGAGATGGTTGGACAGTGTTCTCGAAGCTACCAGCATGAGTTTGACCAAACTGCGGGAGGCAGTGGAAGACAGGAGTGCCTGGCGTGCTCTGGTCCATGGGGTCACGAAGAGTCGGACACAACTAAATGACTAAACAACAACAACAACGAGGTAGGTTAGGATAAGGAGCAGTAACTGGCCCAAGGTCAGCTTGTCTCCTCGGTCCTGGTCCGACACTGTAAGCACTTTGCCACAGCAGCTCTCCATTGTGTGTTACATATTCTGATATAACACTGTTTCCAGGTATTCTTTCACAGAGGGAAAAAAAATAGAAGTACTGTTTTTGGGGGACAGGAGGCGGGCAGGTGTGGAGGATTCCCTGGTCCTGAATGGGGTAACTGTGCCCCTGAAGGACCAGGTGCGCAGCCTGGGAGTCATTTTGGACTCACAGCTGTCCATGGAGGCACAGGTCAAATCTGTGTCCAGGGCAGCTGTTTACCAGCTCCATCTGGTACGTAGGCTGAGACCCTATCTGCCTGCGGACTGTCTCGCCAGAGTGGTGCATGCTCTGGTTATCTCCCGCTTGGACTACTGCAATGCACTCTACGTGGGGCTACCTTTGAAGGTGACTCGGAAACTACAACTAATCCAGAATGCGGCAGCTAGACTGGTGACTGGGGGCGGCCGCCGAGACCATATAACACTGGTCTTGAAAGACCTACATTGGTTCCCAGTACGTTTCCAAGCACAATTCAAAGTGTTGGTGCTGACCTTTAAAGCCCTAAACGGCCTCGGTCCAGTATACCTGAAGGAGTGTCTCCACCCCCATCATTCTGCCCGGACGCTGAGGTCCAGCGCCGAGGGCCTTCTGGCGGTTCCCTCATTGCGAGAAGCAAAGCTACAGGGAACCAGGCAGAGGGCCTTCTCGGTAGTGGCGCCCGCCCTGTGGAACGCCCTTCCAGCAGATGTCAAAGTGATAAACAACTACCTGACATTCAGAAGACATCTTAAGGCAGCCCTGTTCAGGGAAGTTTTTAACGTGTGATATTTTACTGTATTTTTGGTTTTTATGGAAGCCGCCCAGAGTGGCTGGGGAGGCCCAGCCAGATGGGCGGGGTATAAATAATAAATTATTATTATTATTATTATTATTATTATTATTATTATTATTATTATAAAAATATGCTGTGGTGACACTGGCCTTCTGTGTGCAGGGACAATTTCTGCTGATGACAACATCTGTTGGGTTTGCCTAAGAAGTGCTATCTAAACCCACCACATTGGAGCCGGTGTGCCTGTTGCTCAGATAATGAGCATGTATGTTGTACAGTTCCCTTTTGTGGTTGGCGAGAGGAGGGCAAGACTCTGCTAAGCCTGCTTTGAAACAAAAAATGAGAGCAGGAAAAAACACCTGCATCACCCTACATGTTCATTTTATTGTATTTATAAATGACCCTTCCTTGAACAGAGCAAAGGGCTGTGTGCGACAAAGGATTAAGGAACAAAACAAATACAAAACGAAAGCATTCATTATGTAACCGTAATTTAAAAACACAACCCACACATTGCTGTTCAGGGAAACTATTACCACCTAGGAATGAAAGGGTTAGGAAAATAGAAACCGTTCTAGGTGGCATCTAAACCCCAACCACAAAGGAGACATGCAACTCTGGGGGGAGATCATTCCAGAGTCAAGGTCCCCCAACACAGAGAAGGCCATTTTATGAGTCCCCTCACCACAGATTCTTGTGCGGACTATGAACAGAGTCCAGTCTTAAGGATGGAGTCAGCTGGTGTTGGATGAGGCTGTATTGCAGATACTGTATAGCTGAGCGGAACGAAGCATTGCTCCTTTGGGCAGAAGGATGGGAGCCACTGTGGTGTAGTGGTTAAACTGTTGGACTAAGACCTGAGAGAGCTGGGTTCAAATCCCCACTCAGACATGAAACTCACTGGGTGGCCTTGGACCAGTCACTGTCTCTCAGTTGAACCTCCCTCACAGGGTTGTTGTGAGGACAGAATGGGGAAGGGGAGAACCACGTGTACCACCTTGAACTACTTGGGGATATAAATGTAATAAATAAATGAAGAAATAAATAAATCACTTAAA